CGAAGTATTCTCGCAGTTGTTCGCAAATAACAGTTTCCAAAATTTTGTCAACTACCGGCAACAGATTTATTGGCCTGAACTCACTTAAACAGCTTGGTGTCGATACCTTTGGAATAGGTACAATTATACTTGTTTTTAGATCACTTGGAACACACCCTGTTTTTATTGAAGTGTTTATCAAGTACAAAAGAGGATATCCTATAACACAAAACAAATCTTTCACTAGCTTTATGTTTAATATACTGTCACTTGTACTTTTGTTTTTCAATCCACTAATGATCCTGTTGAGTTTTGAGAGGCTTATGGTTTTGAATGTTGATAAAATACAGTTTGTTTCAGCATATTTTGGTATCCACGGTTTTTTTTCTATACTCTCAGATATTTCATCAAGGTTATCTGCAAAGTAATTGTTAATGCCTTCTTCTACGCTGCCACTATGCTGTCCAAAATTGATGTTTGAGTAATTTGCGTTCTGTTTTTTATTGCCTGTAAGTTCCTTCAAGGTTCTCCACATTTTCTTGCCGTCCCTTTTGTTTTGATCAATATTTGTTTCAAAAATTTTTTTTTTCTCTCTCCTTAGAACTGAGGTAGCATTATTTCTGTTATTTTTGTAATCTATCCAGTCATCCTTATTTTTTGTCAAAGAAAATTTCTTATATGCGTTATTTCTCTCATGCTGCGCTTGTTTTACTTGTCGTGTTATCCAAGGATACTTAGAATCATCTAGAGCAGTGGTTCCCAAACTTTTTTCTATGTCGCCCCCTTTCTGAAACCAAGAAGTGGTCGCGTCCCCCTTTTTTCCTCGAGTATACAAAAACATTTCTTTCACTTACTGTAACTTGTCTGAACTGGACTTTGGGAGAAAAGGAATGGGCATGACAGTGGGCAGCGAGCCTGCACTGTAGCAATGATCGAATGGAAAAGCTGCTTTAGCCTACGTGTATGCGCTGTTGCCGGATTAGAGGCATCTTTTTTTGAATTTTAACTGATTTTTTATTTAAAGTTTGAAATTTGTACTAATTTTTTAAAAGACCTACGCCCCCCTCAATGTAGCTTCGCGCCCCCCCAGGGGGGCGCGCCCCCCAGTTTGGGAACCGCTGATCTAGAGTCTTAACTTGTAATGGAGCTATTTTATTAATTGCTATTAAAATTGTATTCATAAATTCAAAATAGATAGCATTAACATCAGTAGAGGTATAATTCCAGGCTTGTCCGATTAGTTCCAAAATAATATTCTGAATATTATCTGCACTTAGATTTCTCACAAATATTTTTCTAGGGGTGGATTCTTCTCCTGCATAGTCCATTTGAATACCAATAATATCGTGATCACTTAACTTAGGAAATTTTCTGGGGATTTCTTTTAGTTTGAAGTCGTTTGTGACTATATGATCTATAAGTGTTGATGACTTATCTGTCACTCTTGTTGCTCTTGTCACTATTTGTTTGAAACCTGCTGCTTGAGTTATGTTTCTCAAGTTTCGCGAATCCGCGTGATTCTTTAAATAGTCTATATTTATATCGCCCATAATTACTGTTTTTTGATTGTGTATGTTTTCACTATTTAAAATGTTATCAAAATAAACGAAAAAATCTCTCACTGGACTATTTGGCGACCTGTATATAGTTCCTATAAAAACGGATTCTTGCCCTATCTTAATTTTTACTGCAATTGCCCAATGACAGTAATCCCTTGAGTCACTAAACAAAACATTAAATCCTATGTCACCTCTAATATACATGGCAGCACCCCCTGTATATCGACTGTTTGAATAGGTCATAGTTACCACATATCCGTCCACCTGAAATTCGGATTCCTCAATACTCTGAGTAACGTGTGTTTCAGTAACGCATAATACTAGAGGCTTCTGGTGTTTTAAAATATCAGACACTTGATCCAAATGACTCAAAAGACCCTGTATATTAGCATGCAAAATTATTTCCGACCGAAAAATAATTTTCTTTGACGCAATCTTTCGTTGCTAGACATATTGTGTGCGAGATTTGGTTTTTTCTTGTGCTTTCCTATAACATATACAGTTTTTATCAAAAACTGTATGTTTGAAGTCAATATTTGGTATCTTCAAAACTTCACAGGCATATTTGCAATTTGTACACTCCTGATCACGTGAGTCGCACTCTGAACTCCTATGATTTTTACTACACAAAGGGCAAACATCCTCATTATGACGACAGTTCACTGCTTTATGGCCATATCTCCAGCACTTGTAGCAGCGTAATACTCCAATGTATTCATACACTTGAAAACAATCCCACTCAATAAATATCTTTCCTGCTTTCATTACTTCCCGAAAGAACTCCGGGGATACTTCCATAACAACGTTCTGCAATTTTTTGTTTTTAGGTATGTACTTTCGGAACACTTTTACCTCCAAATTTTCAGCCCTCAAGGAACTGCTCTGAGCCTGTATTCTAGACAAAAAATCCTCCTCATTGCTCAGGTATCTATCATACATTCCCACAATAATAATTTTTGGATTCGCAGTTTTTGGGAGCTCAACGCTGTATTCATCCGATAATTCAGCCAACGCTGCGTCCTGTAGGCTTTTTAATGATGTGCTATCGCGGCACTCAATAACGACAGCACCTTGACCCACCGGTTTAATTTTGTTTACAGCAATTGATAAATTCGATGGGTTTATTTTTTGCGTTACTATTTGTTTTGTTGTGGTACTATTTTGGTTCGCATTTTTTGGTTTTATTACCAGCGGAGGAATTTTGTTTCTTTTGACGACACTGGCCCAATCACTATTATTGTTTTTTTCAGAGCTACTTTCGAAAGATTTCAATAAATCGGACGAATTTTTTAAGCATTCCTGTGTTTGCACTTCTAATCTTTCAATGGTTTTTGCTATGTTTAACCTCTCGGAAACCACGACAACACACGTCTCACAATACCAAAAAAGATTTGCACAATCTTTCAACATCTTCATCATCGCATCCTTCACTTGCACACATTGCAAATGAAAATCTTTACTACACAATTTGCACGAAATTAACTTAGAATTGACAATAAAATTATCAGCGCAACGAGCGCACACATGTGCGCCCGGTGGCATCTTGAACAGTACTAATACGGAAACTACAAAAAAATAACAAAAATCATTAAAATTGCAAATATCATGAAAATTTGAAAAAATTACAGCACTTACAATTATTGAAAAATTAAAATGAGAATTGGAAAATTACGAAAAAAACCAGGAATGGAAATACTTATGTAATGTAAATTATTTTAAAAAATTACGGGAATTTCAAAAACTACGTGAAATTGCAAAAATCATTAGCATATTACGGAAATTACGAAAACATTACAAAAATCACGAAGATTACAAAAATCACGGGAATTTCAAAAATTATGTAGAACTGCGAAAATCATGGGTAAATTGCGAAAAATAAATTTGAAAAAAATTAGTAGAATTATAAAATTACGAAAAAAATCACGGGAACTTCAAAAATTATTAAAATTTCGAAAACATTGAAAAATAACGTATAACGGAAAAGTAACAAAAATTACGAGAATTGCAAAAATTACGGAAAATTTAAAAAGTTACGGAAACCACCATTATTAAAAACTAAAAAGCAGAATTATAAAATTTGAGTATTACAAAAGCAATGGAAATTATTGGCAATTTCAAATATTACGTAGAACTATAAAAGTCATTGATAAATTACGTAAATTACAGGAATTATAAAAATGAAAAATAACGAATATTACAAAAAATCACGGAAATTTCAAAAAATACGGGAATTATAATTATTTAAAAATTAGGAGAATTATAAAATTACGAAAAAAAATCATGGAAATTTCAAAAATTATGTAAAATTACGAAAATTATTGGAAAATTACGTAATATGGAAAAATATTAACAAAAATCACAAAAATTTCAAAAAATCATGGAAATTACATTAATTATTAAAAAAATTGAGAGAAGAATTATAAAATTAGAAAAAAATCGAGTATTACGGAAAACAATGAAAATTATTGAAAAAAATTACGCGAATTTAAAAAATTACGTAGAATTGCAAAAAATTATTGGAAATTACGTTTTACGAAAAAAAAAAAATCACGAGAATTTCAAAAATAACGGAAATTTCAAAAACTTACGGGAATTATCATTATTGAAAAATAAAATAAAGAAATTACGGGAATTAAAAAAATAACAGAAATTACGGAAATTAGGAAAATCATAAAAAAAATTAGGACAATTAGAATAATTATAGGAATTGCAAAAATTACGGAAATTACGAAAAATTGAAAAAAAAAATATCGGAAATAACACAAAAATTAAGGAATTTGTTAATTAACGAAAATTACGAGAATTGCAAAAATTGCAGAAATTACGCGAATTTAAAAAATTACGTAGAATTGCAAAAAATTATTGGAAATTACGTTTTACGAAAAAAAAAAAAAATCACGAGAATTTCAAAAATAACGGAAATTTCAAAAACTTACGGGAATTATCATTATTGAAAAATAAAATAAAGAAATTACGGGAATTAAAAAAATAACAGAAATTACGGAAATTAGGAAAATCATAAAAAAAATTAGGACAATTAGAATAATTATAGGAATTGCAAAAATTACGGAAATTACGAAAAATTGAAAAAAAAAATATCGGAAATAACACAAAAATTAAGGAATTTGTTAATTAACGAAAATTACGAGAATTGCAAAAATTGCAGAAATTACGAAAAATTTCGGGTAAAGCAAAACTTAAGTCAATTCTCATTTAGCAAACTTGTGGTTAACCCGCAACTATCAGTTTGATAACCAGTGTAGGTTACCCAATTGTGAAACTGGGCGTAAACTGGTTCTGATAGCTCAAATACTTTTTGAGCAATAATAACCTCAAAGTTAAATTTTAAATGAAATTTAGTCAAAAACTTCAAACTCAACTTGGGAATATTTTCCAACACACTTTTTGCATGCTTTTCTGGATTTCCTAGTTCAGATTGAATTTAATGTTAACTTTTTCCAGCTGGATGCGGTTTAGTGGCAGCAGATGAACCCACAACGAAACCGTCGTTATCAACCCAATATCAAGGACAAAACGTGCCTTCTTTCGGTAAGTTTCCAAACCTGAAACGTGTGAAAACTAGTAGCCTTCCCCACACGAAAATTCGTGATTTAAAATTTATAAATTTGTCAATAATCAAAGGAGTATTTAAATGAAAATGCTTGCCTTTTTACCTTACTTCACATTCAAATAGTGAACAGCTAGTCAGATATAATGTGCAATTTTCTCCACCGTTTTCCAACAAAATTTCAGGAATTCAGTCTCTGCCCTCTGACGAAAACTCGGCAGGAAAAGTTGAAGCTCAAAACTATAAACAGCAAAACCAAAACGAAGTCGTACCTCCACAATATGAGGTTCCTCAATATCAAAACGCTGACTCTGGCAATCAGCATCAATTAAATCAAGAACTAGAGGTTCCATACGTACAAGAACATGATAGAGGTAGAGTTTCATTCAGAGGAAATGAATCAACTCATTATTTTCGAATTCGAACATCACTTCTATCTGGTATCAAAACCTCATCCATGTTTTCTACACTTTTTGCTACAGACTTTTTCCGTTTATACTTTTTTGTCATCATAATGTTGATTGAATTCTATAGGTGTTCCTGGAACTCAACAATATCAACCAGCCGTTGGACCTCAGAATACCAACTACAAGCCTTTTGGACAATCACCCAATACTGCTGGTAAGTGTTTCAATTTTACAAACATCAAATATTTAAAAACTGATTTGTTTCAGCGTCTCCAGGAGGTACATCAAATAATGCTGGTGAGGATTTTAATTTTGAAACATCAATATCAACATCGACAAATAATTTTTTCTTTCAGGATTCCAAGCTTCTCCAGGCTTATCGAATGTTCAAGGAGGAGGACAATATTCTAGTGAAGGTGAAGGTTCTCCAAATGCTCAAAAAGGTCCTGGTAAGGATTTTTTTCCAAAATACTCCATAAGAGATTATAGTTGTTTTCTTTTTAGGATTTCAATACCAACCAGCTTCTGGGCCACAAACTACCAACTACCAATCTGGAACTGCTTCAGGAAGTCAATATCCCAATCAAAACCAAGCTGGATTTGCTGGAAATAATAACAATCCTTCTGATGGTAAGCATCTACTCTACCAAATTTTCCACAAAACGTGTGGACAGTACTCTTTATTAATAGTTTTATACTTGAGAACAGTTTATCAATTTATTTACAAATTATTTCCAGTTCCTGAAGCAAACCCACTCCAAATTCCCGGACAAGGACCGCAAAACCAAGTTTCAAACCTACCGCCCATTTCCGTTGACGGCAACGTTATCCACGTGGGTGGTTCCAAGAACCAAGACATCCCTATAAAAGACAAATTCCCTGGAATGAAAGAAGGCCTTCCCGAAGGTATAGAGGAAAAGGACATTACGCAACTGCTGTACAAGTTCCATTACACTGTCGGATTCCACGGGCATTACGAAAAAGGTTTGAAGAACGGTGCCAAGATTGGAGGGTGAGAATTTTCTTTCTTTGTTCAACAATGTGATTTGATTTTTTTTTTTCACAGTTACTTCGTGAATGGTCGTGACGGAATCAGCCGAGTAGTGACGTACATTGCTGACGAAAACGGTTACAGGCCAAAAGTCAAATTTATAAATCTCGGGTTGGAGTCGGACGAGACACCCAAAGCCGAGACCGAAAAGAAGTTTGGACTCAAGAGTTTCGAATTTGTTTGGTATCCCTTGTAAATTGTTTAAATAATTTATTTATTATATTGTATAAATATTGTAATGCCATATAAACTTACATTAAGTGCTCATATAATACAGTATTACAGTACTTGTTCAGTAAATATAAGTATGGGTGAATAAAAATTGATTTTTTTTCTAATTTGTTTTACAATTAGCTTGACATAAGAACGGTACATTTGAAATTAAAAATATAATGATGTTATTCAATATATTGTTGCAGGTTAGTAACCTCAACAAAATAATTAATTTTTGAAAAATCCAATTAACATCCTTTTATTGAAATCAGAATTAACTGTGTCTAGGACCAAATATTTTGACTCAAAGATTCTCAGAATTGTGTTTCTTTGACTCCTTAAGAGTTTTCAATATTGAATCTTTGAGGTTTCCAAAATATGAGACTTCAAAGATGAGAATCTTTGCTGGTTTAAGAAACATCCTGTTGAGTAATTATTATTGTACCTTTATTATAAAGGCGTGGTACTTGATAATTAATATTTTTCACGCAACCTAAAACAAACAGCCGCAAGCCTTTTGTAGGAAAGAAATTGAAAGTGATGATTGATATTGTTTAAGGTTTGTTTTCACTTTTAAGAAACGTGACTTTGTACTTAGTTTGTTTTGCCACTGATGAGCTGTTTAGGAATAAAAATTTACCACAGGAAATAACCAAAATTTGGTCACCCACTGATTATTCCCACTCACGAAAATTTAATAAAAGTTCTTTGACCGTTTGATAGTTTGTTTTTTCTTTGTAACTGTATACCATGATCTTTATTGTAAATTGTCTAATCCTGGTACTCCTAATGCCAACCAGGAAAGTGTGAAACAGCAGTTTTCACATGTAGGTACCGTTTTTTCTATACCAAAATCATAAGCATTAAAGTGGGTAGGTAGATTTTTTTTTAAACACTCCACCCAAACTTTACCAAATAAACAAAACAATAATAATTGATGATACAACGTTATTAGAATCCGACAAGTAGGTGTGACTGATACCCAATGTCAAATATGCATTGTTGTGGTAATTACTAAGCAGATGAATCGCATTATATGTAATCTGCTGATCAAATTATGAGAAAATTTTTGCCTAAATTATTAACACCTATATCACGGTCATTTTTTGTTAATTTTATTTCCTATATAGTTGAGTGGGTAATTCGCAATATACCAAACTTACGTGGGATTTTTGCTTTAACTGATTTACTTTTCCGTTACACTTAGAAATTTTGTTTCACCTTGATTTTAGGGCGTTTTCAGCCTATAAGCTGGTTTTCCTAAGTAGGTATATTTGAAAAAATCTCATAAATAAATCTTCTTGAAAGATTGTAATTTATCTTAATAAAGATCTAAATTGCTACATTCGCTTACACCTTGTAAAAAAACCGCAAAACTGCAAAAAAATATTAATCTTTAAAGGTCAAAATCGCCTTTACAAAGTACGAACATGTTTAAGCATGACGTCATAGTTAAGTAGATAACATTTTAGGATCACTATTATTAATTAATTTACTACAAAACCAAGCAAAATTGCAAATAATTGTTGGTAGAAGGTCAAAAACACGTAAACCACCATGGTTGAGGTGTTTTACAGGCTCGTTCGAAATTATTTATGCATATTTAATTGTTGTTATGTTTTGGTAAATTTTCAAATTTTCATGAGCACAAATTTCAAATATGGCGCCAAATGAAGACATGTATAATGTTATAATTTAGCCTAGTAGGCCATTATGATTTGAACTCTTCTTTTTTCTTTGATTGTGGGACATTTGTTACTATACGACAATCTAGTAAGCCATACAAATGACGTTGCTTATTTGGATTTTTAGTTTGTGCCAAAATGTATGCAAAGAGCTTCAATTTCTAATGATACCGACAACTGAAAAAAAAATGACCCACTGAATTCTAAATTGATGCCTAAGCAATACGCTAAAAAAAGAAGAGCCCAAATATATAGCCTACTATGAATTGTTGCACTGGGAAATCATGTTGAGGAGAAAAAAAAGTAGAGTTTAAATGTTGCTTACAGTGTGTCCACCTTAAGAGCAATGTTTCTGAAATTAATAGGTTGTCTGGTAATAGGTAACTTAATGACGTCATCTGAGGTGTGTCTTATGAAGATTGCGTTATGTTTGTGTTTTCTGATTGGTTTTATTAAAGGTTTCACTGTCAGAAAGTTTAGAGGAAAAAATCTATTTTCAATGTTCTAAAATATGAACATCATTTGCATGGCCTACTAGATTGTAGCATGCAAACAATGTTAAATATTTGTTTTCTTTTTTTTTTTATCTTATGATTTGTACGTAGCAACACTGAAACTCCTGATTTTTTCGTCCATTGAGAAACCAATACGTTGCATTAGTGCTGACGTCACAGGTATCTAAACAAACTTCAGATCAATTGGATTTAGACAATGAATATTGTTGAACAAACTCCTTCAATGTAACTATTACCTACCAGCCGTGTGCGTTTTTGTCATCTTTTTCGCAACAGAAAAAGATGACAAAAACGAACACGACCATTGTTACAATATGACAGAAAAGTGTAAATTGGAACAGATTGAAAGTTTGTTCAGATACACTACTGTCAGTTTATGACGTCACACAAACGAAACAAACAGATTCAACAGATAGTTTTTAAGATTTTTTTTTTAAATATAGCAACACTCTGAAACTTTTGTTTTTCTTTGTCCAGAAACCATTATTGCTGACGTCACTTGTTGTGTGACAATAGATGCTGTATCTAAACAAACTATAGATAGATATGAATAAACTGCTCTAATGTAACATAGAAATGTAAATTGGAACAGATTGAAAGTTTGTTTAGATACACCTGCAGTCAAATTATGACGTCACACACACGCAACCAATAGATTCAGCAAGTACATTTAGGATTTTTTTTTATTATAGCAACACTCTTTGCCTATTAGGAAACCAAAACGCTCCATTATTGCTGACGTCACTCGTTGTGATGGATGCTGTATCTAAACAAACTTCAAGTCAATTTGATTTGGCTGATACATATATTTGGCTAGCGCTAACACATATATATTTGCACAAACTGCCCTAATGTAACATAGAATTGTGAATTGAAACAGATTGAAAGTTTGTTTAGATACACTGCTGGCAATTGATGACGTCACTCAAACGTAACCAATAGAATCAGCAGGTAGTTTTAAGGATTTTTTAAAATATTATAGCAAACTCTTCTGCTTCTCAGTCTATCAGGAAACCAATACGCTCCATTATTGCTGACGTCACCTGTTGTGTGATGATGGATGCTGTATCTAATGGCCGTTTGCACCGACCGTTTTAAGGGAGGGTCAACGATAAGTATACCTTAAAATGACAGTTTTACATGTGAAAATGTCACTTTAAGGAATACTTATCGTTAAGCCTTCTTTAAAATGGTCGGTGCAAACGGCCATAAATAAACTTCTAGTCAATTTAATTTGACTAATGGATATTAAGGAGCAAACTGAACGGTATTAGTCAATTTATAACGTCACACAAACAGGGAGGCTTTATTTGACATTGATGCAACTTTGCGTACACGCAAATATAACGCAAATGACGTCAGTTGCGATTGAAAAGTGCATGTCAAATGAGCCGCGCACCAATTTTCAATCACGAATGACGTCATTTGCGTGTAAAACAATATTGCATCAATTTCGAATAAAACCCCCCTGAGCCAATAGAATCAGCAGGTGGTTTTCAGGATTTTTTCTAAATCATAGCAACACTCTGAAACTCTTCTTTTTCTTTGTCCATTAAGAAACCAATACGTTCCATTATTGCTGACGTCACTCGTTATGTGGCGATGGATGCCGTACCTAAACAAACTTCTAGTCAATTTGATTTGACTAATAAAAATAATTGCACAAACTGCTCTAATGTAACATAGAATTGTAAATTGAAACAGATTGAAAGTTTGTTTAGATAGACTGCTGGCAATTGATGACGTCACTCAAACGGAACCAATAGAATCAACAGGTAGCTTTTAGGATTTTTATTTACATTATAGCAATACTCTAAAGCTCTTCTTTTTCTTTGTCGATTATGGAACCAATACATTCCATTACTGCTGACGTCACTTGTGTGACAATGGATGCTGTATCTAAACAAAAATCAATTTAATTTGGCTAATAAATATTTTTGAACAATCTGCTTCAATTCAATAAAAAAATATAAATTGATACATAGAGTTTGTTTAGAAACACTGCTGTCAATGTATGACGTCACACAAATGGAACCAAAGGAATCAGCCAGTAGTTTTTAGGTTTTTCTTTGTCAATTAGAAAACCAATACGCTTCATTAGCTGACGTCACTTGTTGTGTGATGATGAATGCTGTTTCTAAACAAATTTCAGATCAATTTGATTTGGCTAATAAATATATTTGAACAAACTTATTTAATGCATAATGTAACATACTGATTGAAAATTTATTTACATACATTGCTGTCAATTTATGACGTCACACAAACGGAGCCAATAGAATTAGCTGGTAGTTTTTAGGATTTTTTTTATAGTATAGCAACACTCTGGAACTGCTCTATTTCTCCGTGCATTGAAAAAACAATACGTTTCATTATTGCTGACGTCACTTGTGTGACGATGGATTTTGTATTTAAACTCAAACAAACTTCAGGTCAATTTCATTTAGCTAATGGATATTTTTGAAACTGCAAATCATGTAACAGATAAATGTAAATTGAAACAGATTGAAATTTTGTTTAGATACACTGCAGTCAATTTATGACGTCACACAAACGGAGCCAATAGAATCAGCAGGTAGTTTTTAGGATTTTTTTTTATACAATAACAACTTTCTGCAACTTTTTTTTCTCTTTGTTCATTAAGAAACCAATACGCTCCATTATTGCTGACGTCACTTGTTGTGTGACGATGGATGTTGTATCTAAACAAACTTCAGATCAATTTGCTTTGGCTAATGGATATTTTCGAAAAAACTGCTTCAATGCAATGGAATAATATAAATTGAAACAGACTGAGGATTTGTTTAGCTGTCAATGTATGACGTCACACAAACGGAGCCAAGAGAATCAGCCAGTGGTTTTAAGGTTTTTTCTTATATTATTGCAACACTCTGAAACTTATATTAAATATATTTAAACAAACTGATTCAATCCAACATTTATAATGTAGCATACTGATGAAATTTTTTTTTACATACATTGCTGTCAATTTATGACGTCACACAAACGGAGCCAATAGAATTAGCTGGGTAGTTTTTAGGATTTTTTTTTTCAGTATAGCAACACTCTAGAACTGTTCTATTTCATTATTGCTGACGTCACTTGTGTGACGATGGATGCTGTATCTAAACAAACTTCAGGTCAATTTGATTTGGCTAATGGATATATTTTTAGAAAAAAACGGAAACTCAAGAGCCGGGAATAGACAAAAATTGAATTGGTGAAATTGAGAAAAAAAAAAGAATGGATGCTGTATCTAAACAAAAGGGAATTTACGCTGTAACCACATAACATTTTTACTTGTAGTTACATCATACGCTATTTTCTTTAACTTATGGTAACCAATACTTACAATGACGTCAGTGATGACGCTTAACATACTATAATAGGTACCTATCTTCCTGAGATAGTTACACTGTTTTCTATCTCTGTTTATTGAATAGATACTAATAAGTGAGATGATTGGATATTCGAAAAAACACGAATAAAAAAAGTCACGTAAGGAACTGTTTTGGCAATTTCGTTGTTTGCTTATTTGCCGGTATTTGTTTCGTTAAACTTGTATATTTTATGACGTCAATTAAATAATTTCTCTAGCAAACACAACTCGAGAGAGAGACGAATATACCACACAACACAACACAAATAAAAAACAAACCAAACAAACAACAGCCAGTCAATTTTTGTTTTCCTCAAAATGTCACGTTAAAGATACCATGACGTCATTGTATGATCATACCTAGTAAGTTGTGGTATATTTATGACGTCACACAAACAAAGTCAATAGAATCAGCAGGTAGTTTTCAGGTTTCCCTTTTTTATTATAGCAACACTCTGAAACTCTTCTTTTTCTTTATATATTAAGAAACCAACACGTTTCATTATTACTGACGTCATCAATAAGCTCCATCATTCCTGACGTCATTTATTGTGTGATGATGGATGCTGTATCTAAACAAACATCACGATAATATGATTTGGTCAATGGATATTTTTGAACAAATTGCAAACAGTGCAACAAAAAAATATAAATTGAAAGTATGTTTAGATACATTGCTGTCAATTTATGACGTCATACAAACGAAGCTAATAGAATCAGCCAGGTAGTTTTCAAGATTTTTTGTCCATATTATAGAAACACTTTGAAACTCTTCTTTTTATTTGTCCATTAAGAAACCAATACGCTACATAATACGCTACATTTTTGCTGACGTCACTTTGGTATATGACAATGGATGCTGTATCTAAACAAACTTAAGATCAATTTGATTTCGCTAATGGATATAATGTTTGAACAAATTGCTCCAATGTAACCATTGGAATTTGAACAAACTGAAAGTTTTTTCAGCTACACCACTGTCAATTAATTACGTCACACAAACGGAGCCAATAGAGTTAGCAGGTAGTTTTTAGGATTTTTTTTTTATATTATAGCAACACTCTAAAACTCTTCTTTTTTATTGTCAATTTAAAAACCAGCATTATTGCTGACGTCACTGGTTGTGTGACGATGGAAGCTGTATCCAAACAAACTTGAAGTCAATTTGATTTGGCTAATGGATATTGCAAAATTTGTTTAGATACACTATTGGTCAATGTATGACGTCACACAAACAGAGTCAATAGAATCAGCAAGTTGTTTTCAAGATTTTTGTTTTATTTTATAGCAACACTTTGAAACTTTTCTTGTTTTTGTCCATCAAGAATCCAATAATACGCTCTATTATTGCTAACGTCACTTGTTGAGTGACCATGGATGCTGTATCTAAACAAACTTCAGGCCAATTTGATTTGGCTAATAGATATATTTGAACAAACTGGTCTGATGGTAAAACATGGAAGTGTAACTAAAAGTTTCTTATGATACTCTATTAGTCAATTTATGACGTCACACAAACGGAGCCAATAGAATCAGCAGGTAGTATTTCAGGATTTTTTAAAAATAGTATAGCGACAGCGACACTCTGAAACTTCTCTTTTATTTTGTCCACTAACAAACCAAAACACTCAATTATTGCTGACGTCACTTGTTGTGTGACAATGGATGCTGTATCTAAACAAACTCCAGGTCAATTTGATTTGGCTAATAGATATTTTTGAACAAACTGCAAATAATGCATCAGAAAAATATAAATTGAAACAGTTTGTTTAGATACACTGCTATCAATCTATGACGTCACACGTATCCTGGGTCTCGACTACATTATTCCTATCAGATGAAAAAAAAAAAAGTACCGGGAACCCACGACAAGGCCTCGCGATGGTCAACAACCACACACAACTCACCTTATATCTGGGCAGAACGGTCTCTTTGGTTAGAGTACCATTTAATTGCTTACCATATTAGTACCGGCGCAACCAGAACAGTCTTCTGACGCCCACACGGTACTAGTTTAAATTGGAATCAAGAACCTCTAGTAAATAGATTGGCAATAAAACAGACTAATTGATTCTAATTAAATAATGTTTAGAAATTCATAGAAACTTCTTGCTGGCTGGTACATACATCAAATAGACTTCCTGGACAGTAAAATTGCTAGCAGGGACATCGTTTTTCGTATCGACTTCAATTACTTTAGCGGTACTTCTAAATTTTATTGTCCCATGACAATAAATCTATTTGGAAATTAAATTGCTTCGATTCAGGTCATGATGTAAATACTAGGGTAGCTTATTACGTCATATTTCAATGGGTTATAGTTCAAAGAATTACCCACAATTTACTCGTTATGTGACCTCACGAAAAAACATTAATTTACGACACATATAAATGAAAAATTTCTCATGATTTTCCATATAAAAACCCAGGGACGTATATGAGACAATTGAAATACATATAATTTTAATGTGTATATGGGTTTTTGAATGACAACAATAGGATTGTAATGGGGTTTCGAGAAGGTCAGAGAAATCTGGGACGAAAATGACCCATTGATCATCCACAATTATAAGTGATTAATTAGTGCAATTAAATTTTTAGTTTTTCAGAAAGTACCTAGGTACCTAACTAAACTTTGTAGATAAGAAATTGCTGAAATTTTCAATGAGCTTCCTGGTTCAATTTTGGCATTAGATGAAGTGCCAGGAATTGAATTATTATCCAATCTAGAGCCAGGAGGAAGATTTCTACAATTTTCAAGTTGGATTTCAGCTCTACAATATTACCCTTGCAAACCACTTTACCTTCTGAATGGTTTAAAATCAAAGTTTAACACTTTTCTAAATTTTTTGCATTAGTAGCTCCAGAAATTTTCCTATCGACAATGTCTTTTTATGAGTTGGTAACGGTGTCAAAAATGTTAGAATTGACATTATTGTAATGAAAAATCCTTTAGCTTGTTATCATCCAAAGATTCCTGGTAGGAAAATTGTCCTAATACCCACTACCACAACCCACAATCTAGGAGAAAAAACAACAATCGCAACCAAGTACCATGGGTATGGGCGATTTCGCGACCACAACAATGCCGGCAGTAGTCGATGGTACTGCGTGTCTATTGATAAGTAAGTGAAAAGAGCTCTGGGTACCGGTACGACGTCGCGAAAATACTCGCGAGCGACTCTTAATAATAGATTGATTAATATTTGGTGCGATTAGTATGTGGGATTTACGGTTTTGTTGTGTTTTGGTGAGTAAATTTTCTCCAAAAAGATGAATAAATTTATGATAAAATTGAGAAAAATTGTTCAGGTTTCAATAATTAATTTCTCAATTTTGATAATCATTTCGTAAGTTATTGTAGAAAAACTGAAAAGAAATTGTTTGGATTAGGAAAAAAGTATTATAATCCAATTCTCAAAGGCTACAAATCCATTTTGAACTTCCTCTAAAATTTTTATATATTTTACCAATTTCCTCAAATTTTCTTTAAACTTCATTTGACTTTCTCAGATATCATGAACGATAAATTGAACTAATAATTTTGAAAAGTATATGTCTCTTGCTCTCTATATTGAAATTTATATATTTGTGAAGTATCTCTTTCTATTATTTGAATTTCTTCCTAAACTTCTCCAAATGTCCACAAACTTCTATGAAACTTCTCAAATGTTTTCCAAAGTCCTCCTAGAGAAATTGTTATGTAGATATCGCTCAATTGCTCAATTTTATCAAAAAAGTTACACTCAAACTTCTGGGCTAAGTATCGTTTTTTCTGGCTTATCTCATTCTATGATTCTTGAACTACTTATTCTTCATCTCAAATTCCTAATTTTCTGTGTAAATAGCTCAAATTCCAAAAACCAAAAGCTCACTTACAGAATACAAAACACGTCCATATAATACACATTCTATCATATTATTTTTATGCAGCCTATTGACCTAAAACCCCAGCTTTAAATTCGCCTTGAGCTTCACATTTGATTTATTTATTTATATTATTGTCGTATCACGCAGAACTAATAAAATATCTGAAGAAGAAAACTTACGAGACAAAGTGAAAGTGAATGAGTAAATTTTGAAACCTAATATACTGACTTGTGTGTCGGGTGCTTTATTAAATCTTATCTGTCACGATGTTTAATTTTTTTAAAATTTTATTTCCCAACTACATAGTGAGAAAGTTATAAATCTGTCTCGAAACCCGTCGAAGATTTTCGATCTATTTTTTTTGAGATTGTAGCCCTTGATGAGGGTTTCAAAATGGTACGTAGTTGAAGTCGCTGGCATTTACGGTTTTTGAGAAAATCGAGTTTAAAGTTTTTGACTAAATTTCAACTAAAATCCAACTTTGAGGCTCAATTACTCCAAAAGTATTTGAGTTATCAAACTCAATCTAGCACTGATTTATAGAGAATTTGATGCTCTTTCCAACCATATATAATTTATTTTGATTTGCTCAAAATTTAATAGAAGTATTGGCAATTGCTCCTAACTTTGTTAGGATTTTAAAAAAATTTAAACCTGAAAATTGAGATTTTCGTTTTGATTTTTTTTCCGTTTTGAAATCGAGATTTGGAAATGATGTTAGATTTTTTTTGACTAATTTAGATTCGCTCTATCGATTGGAAAAGTCAAAATTCAAAAAATCTGAAAAATAAAAATGTCGATTTTTTCAAAGGGTTAAACCCCTTTGGATTTTAATTTCAAAATTTTTAAACTCAATTTTCTCAAAAGCTGTCAAAGATTTTGAATCATTTTTTTTTTGAAATTGTAGCCCTTGATGAGAGCTTCAAAATGGTACTTAGTTGAAGTCGCTGGCATTTACGGTTTTTGAGAAAATCGAGTTTGAAGTTTTTGAATAAATTTCAACTAAAATCCAAATTTGAGGCTCAATTGCTCCAAAAGTATTTGAGTTATCAAACTCAATCTAGCACTGATTTATAGAGAATTTAATGCTCTTTCTAACCACGTATAATTTATTTTGATTTGCTCAAAATTTAATGGAAGTATTGGCAATTGCTCCTAACTTTCTCAGGATTCAAAAAAAATTTAAACCTAAAAATTGAGATTTTCTTTTTAATTTTTCTCTGTGTTGAAATCAAGATTTTGTAATGATGTTAGAGTTTTTTTCGACTAATTTAGACCCGCTCTATCGATTGGAAAAGTCAAAATTCAATAAATATAAACAAAAAAAATTTCGAATTTTTCAAACCCCTTTAGATTTTTATTTCAAAATATTTGATCTTGGATATCTTTAAATCTATTAAAGATTTTGAATTAAAATTTTCAGGAACTGTAACTCTTAACAAGGGCTTTTAAATGGTATTTAGTTAAAATCGCTAGCTCTTATGGTTTTCGACAAAAATCGAGTTTGAAATTTTTAATAAAATTTGGACTAAAAGTCAACTTTGAGATCCAATTGCCCAGAAAGTATTCAAGTTATCAGAACCAATTTAGCATGGATTTATAGAGAATTTAATGCTCTTTTCAACCATATATAATTTGTTTTGATTTGCTCAAATTTCTTTAAAGATATTGGCCATTATTCCTAACCTTGTTAAGATTTGAAAACATTTCCAGAACAAAAATTGAGATTTTTTAGCTTTTTGAAATCGCCATTTCAAAAGTGATGTTAAAATTTTTTTCGATTAATTTAAACCCGCTGAATCAATTGGAAAAGTCAAAATTTCGAAAATATGAAAAATAAAAATTTCGAGTTTTTGAATGGTTTGACTGAAACCCCCCATAAGCAACGCCACTGGCCAAACAAAATACATGTTGCCAACTTGAAAAATAACCGGCCAATAGCAACAAAGGCCTGGAATAAACAGAAATTGAAATACAAAAAGGGAAACATATATAAATATATCAAAATAACAAATAATACAAATTTATATAAAAATCAAAGGACCTCACACACCACTTATGGGTATTTAGTTTTCTATCAAACAAATGAAATGTGTGTGTTAATGAAGTAAAATTTTTATACATTATGCCATTGTTAACAATATTCAAAATTGATGAAATTTCAAAATCACCAGAAAGTGCCATTTTTTCACCAATCACCAGATTTGGTGAAATTTCACGAGACCTGGCATCACTGCTTTAAACCTCTAATATAGAGTTGTCAAAATGTTTTCCTACTAAATTTGACTTCCTTTTTCAGTTGGTAAAGTCAGAAATTTGAAAAACCCAAAGAAATAATTTTTGACGTAGCACCAAAGGAGCTTTATGGAAATCTGACATAAAGTTCCAACTTTGGAGGCTCATATCTTCAAAACCGTTCTGAATATTGGAGTCAAATTTATTCCATCTTAAAAAGCATCAAATTCTGATCTAGAATGGTTGTTTTTACATTGAAATATTAAGTGTATGTAACATGTCGAATAAATCATAACAGGTTGTCGACCGAACTTTAACTTAATCTTAAACTGAGACACGAACAGGTCAAAGTTAGTGCCTTGTCATCGCGAAACTGTTAGTATCGGTACCACGTAGGTACTACCTACCTATGTAAAGAGTTGAAAATTATTAGACAATTATTTTAAATCTTTTTATTATTCACCTGATCTTGATCCATTAGATTTTTAATTATGTAATATCAAATGCTATTTAGTAATTTTTAAATGTATTATTTATATTAATTGATATATTAATTTTCCTTGATTACATGCAAATTTTGCTTTTAACCGTCATCCTTAATACCGTTTTTTAATTGTTTTAATGATGGTTAATTCACTGCAAATAGATTACTTGGATTACACATGGTGTCATTTATTTTTATTTGTTTTTTAATTGAGTATAAGGTACACCTTTTACTATATGCATCAAGTGCCATGACGTAATACTAAAGTGTCAATATTTCTAATTATAACATTTGAAAAATGAAAGATGGACACTGTTGACAGAAACCCAAGTGATCTTTCATTCGAAGTAATAAACCTGTCATAATATTTGTGATTGAGTTTGAGCCATTTTGATGTTTCAAGAATCAAAAATGAAAATTTGAAAACTTCGTTTATTGACGGCTGCGTAAAAAACGTCAATTTGTTTAATTTTGTCTCAATTTATTCAAAAAATAAAAAAAGATAGAAAGCACAAGGCTGCCAACTATAACATTATGAAATCAAAAACAAATCACTGAAATTTCTGTTGAGTTTCAGCCATTTTGATGTTGCACGAATTAAAAATAAAAATTTGAAAACTACGTTTATTGACGGCTGCGTCAAAAACGTCAATTTGTTCAATTTTGTCTCAATTTATTCAAAAAATAAAAAAAGATAGAAAGCACAAGGCTGCCAACTATAATATGATGAAATCAAAAACAAATTACTGAAATTTCAGTTAAGTTCCAGCCATTTTGATGTTTCAAGAATCAAAAATAAAAATTTGAAAACTTCGTTTATTGACGGCTGCGTAAAAAACGTCAATTGGTTTAATTTTGTCTCAATTTCAATTTATTCAAAAAATAAAAAAAGATAGAAAGCACAAGGCTGCCAACTATAACGTTATGAAATCAAAAACAAATCACTGAAATTTTAGTTGAGTTTCAGCCCTTTTGATGTTCCAAGAATCAAAAATGAAAATTTGAAAACTTCGTTTATTGACGGCTGCGTCAAAATGTCAATTTGTTTAATTTTGTCTCAATTTATTCAAAAAATAAAAAAAGATAGAAAGCACAAGGCTGCCAATTATAACATTATAAATTCAAAAACAAATGACTGAAATTTCAGTTGAGTTTCAGCCCTTTTGATGTTCCAAGAATCAAAAATGAAAATTTGAAAACTTCGTTTATTGACGGTTGCATCAAAAACGTCAATTTGTTTAATTTTGTCTCAATTTATTCAAAAAATAAAAAAAGATAGAAAGCACAAGGCTGCCAACTATAACATTATGAAATCAAAAACAAATCACTGAAATTTCAGTTGAGTTTCAGCCATTTTGATGTTCCAAGAATCAAAAATGAAAATTTGAAAACTTCGTTTATTGACGGCTACGTCAAAAACGTCAATTTGTTTAATTTTGTCTCAATTTATTCAAAAAATAAAAAAAGATAGAAAGCACAAGGCTGCCAACTATAACATTATGAAATCAAAAACAAATCACTGAAATTTCAGTTGAGTTTCAGCCATTTTGATGTTCCAAGAATCAAAAATGAAAATTTGAAAACTTCGTTTATTGACGGCTACGTCAAAAACGTCAATTTGTTTAATTTTGTCTCAATTTATTCAAAAAATAAAAAAAGAT